CCCTCGAGAAACTCATAATTTGGAGGAGATTCAGAGATCAGCCATCTCCATTTATCAATTCAGTCGTTTGGTCACTCAACAAACATTCATTAGCACTCAGTTTCTGACAAGCAAGTGTCATGGTAGAGATTGAAGTGGTTGGTCTTGCCCTTAAGAAAGTCCTAGCCCAATTGGAGAGCCTGGGGTTAGCCATCCTCACTCAAATGTGTTCATTCATTGGTTCACTAAAGAGTCACCAACATCCAGCCTGTGCCAGGGTCTGGGAGAGGACTCCTGTTGGATGATCCAACAATAGGCTCTGGTGAGTGTCTCCAAGCAACAAGGCCTTCCTCTGGAGCCCTGGCCTCCCCCCAGGGTTCCACCTGTTGCTCTCCCAATGTGAGCAAGCCCTGGTGGCAGCTGCCAGGGTCCAGTGTACCCCCTCCCCACAGCATGCTGGGGGCTAATTCTGATGTCATCTTTCTGCAGAAAACCATGAGCCCATCCCTCCAGACTGCCACCCTCAAAGCCATCTGCCCAGGCCCCATCTGACACTCTTGACATCCGCAGGTCCCAGACCCTACAATGTGTCCACTCTGGAGGCTCCTCATCCTCCTCGGGTTGCTGGCCTTGCCCTTGGCACTGCGCAAGCAGCCTTGGTCTGGCCTGGCCCAAGCCCACAGAGACAACAAATCCACCCTGGCAAGAAGTAAGCTAAGCCCCGGGCTCTGCCTGCTGCCCACAGGGTCGGGGAGGTGGGAAGGTGCCATCTGGGCTCCACCGCTAACCTGCTGGGTGACTTCAGGTTAGTCACTTACCCTCTTTTTTTCTTAGACCTCAAGTACAGAAAATTGAGGTTGTGTTGATTATATGCCAACTTCTAGCACATCCTCATTGGCACAAACTACTTCAAGGTCCCCCTTTTGTTTTATTTTCTTATTTCCCCCTTTATCCCTTATTCTCACTCCCGTATCCCTACTGCCTTGGCAGGCCCTGCAGTGTGTTTAATGGATATATTTAAATATGCCTGTGTCCTTGTATGTTCGGTACTTTAATTTACATAAATTGTATTGCCATATATATCCCATTCTGGTTTTTTTACTGGTTTCACTCAGCACTATGCTGTTGACATCTATGTTGCTTCAGCTGGTGCAGAAAGAGCCATAAGATTCATCCACCCCAGTTTATTTGGCTGTTCCCCTCTGGATGAACATGCAGGTTGTCTCTAACTCTCCACGATTATAAAGTACACTGAGATGAACCTCCTTGCACGTGTCCCTGTTACGGCCTGTGGGAGAATTTCTCTGGGATATACCCAGAAGGAGAGTGGCTGGGTCCTGAGGTAGAGGTAAACTCAATTTAACCAAAACTGCAGGAATCCTCTCTAGAATGGCCACGTGGTCTACACGTGCTCCGGTAAGAAATGACTATACCTGTCTCCCCATGTTCCCCAGCACTGCCGAGCACTGAGCTGTATCAGTCAGCTAGGGCTGTCCTCACAAGATACCACAGACTGGGAATTAAACAACACATATTCCTTTTCTCACAGTTCTGGAGGCTGGAAGTCCAAGATCAAGATGCAAGTAGGGTTGGTTTCTGGTGATGCCTGTCTTGCTGGTTTGCAGACAGACACGTTCTCCATGTCTCCATATAGCCTTTTCTCTGTGCATGCAGAGAAAGAGATCGCTTCTGTTTCTTCTTATAAGGACACCAATCCCGTCAGTTTAGGGCCACATCCTAATGACCTCGTTTAACCTCAGTTAGCCCTTTAGAGGCCCTATCTCCAAAGACAGTCGCACTGGGGGAGGAGAGGACACAATTTGAACTGACATTATTTTTAGACTTTTTTTTTTTTGCCAGTTTGATATGTAGTTGAGTGATAACTACTTGTTTTAGCTTGACTTTATCTGGTGAGTGGGAAGTTTGAGCATCTTCTACTTTTGTTAACCATTTTGACTTTTTTTCTTGGAGACAGAGATTCTTGCTCTGTCGCCCAGGCTGGAGTGCAGTGGCATGACCTTGGCTCACTGCAATGTCTGCCTCCCAGGTTCAAGCGATTCTCCTGCCTCAGCCTCCTGAGTAGCTGAGATTACAGGTGCGTGCCACCATGCCCGGCTAATTTTTGTATATTTAGTGGGGAGGGGGTTTCATCTTGTTGGCCAGGTGGTCTTGAACCCCTCACCTCAAGTTATCTACCCACCTCGGCCTTCCAAAGTGCTGGCATTACAGGCGTAAGCCACCGTGCCCAGTCCCATTTTGACTTCTTTGAATTCCCTGTTCTTACCTTTTGTCCGTTTTTAAATTTGCTTTTCTGGGTTTTTTTAATCCTCTTTGATTTGAAGAGACATTACTTAATTCTTGATATTAGCCCTTTGTCAGATTTATGCATTGTGAATATTTCTCCCAAACTGTCATCTGTTGACTTTGCAGGTCCTTCCCTGAACAGAAATATTTTCAAATTCATCAATATTTTGTTTTATAGTTTGTGTTTGGAGAGTCTTAAGACCTGGCTCCTACCTCAGACATATTCTACTTTGTTTTTTTCTCATAGCTTTATAGTTTTACCTTTCACATTTAAGATTTTAACCCATCTCTGGAGGCTATCTTTATGTATGCCTGTGTATGTAAGGCAGAGATGCAGCTTCTCTTCTCTCCATGTGACTCAGTTTCCCTAACTCATCTACTAAATGATCAAATTCCCAAAAATGAGGATTCACTGCTAAGCTCCCTGTGCTGTATCTGTACATTTGTTTTACGCCAATAACATAGTATTGTAAATACAACATCTTTGTAAAATGCTGTTTTATCTGACAGACCTATATTCTTCCAAATGAGTTTTAGAGTGTGTTGAGTTCCTTTAAAAAATTCATCTGGTGGGGCATGGTGGCTCCCTAGCACTTTAAGAGGCTGAGGTGGGAGATCACTTGAGCCTAGGAATTCAAGACCAGCCTGAGCAACATATCAAGATCCTGCCTCTACAAAAATAAAATTAGAAAATTAACCAGGCATGGTGGCACATGCCTGTAGTCCCAGCTACTTGGGAGGTTGAGGTGGGAGGATCACTTGTGCCCAGGAGTTTGAGACTGCAATGAGTTATAATTGTGCCACTGCACTCCAGCCTGAGCAACAAAGACCCTGTCTCTTAAAAAAAAAAAAAATCAGGCCAGGCACAGTCACTCACGCCTGTAATCCCAGCACTTTGGGAGGCCAAGGAGGGCGAATCACGAGGTCAGGAGATCGAGACCATCCTGGCTAACACAGTGAAATCCCATCTCTACTAAAAGTACAAAAACTTAGCCAGGCATGGTGGCGAGGGCCTGTAGTCCCAGCTACTCAGGAGGCTGAGGCAGGAGAATGGCTTGAACCCAAGAGGTGGAGGTTGCAGTGAATGGAGATCACGTTACTGCACTCCAGCCTGGGCGAGAGAGCAAGACCCTGTCTCAAAAAAAAAAAAAAAAAAAATCATCTGGAAATTTGATTGGAGTTAAAATGAATTTGTTAATTTAAAGGGAGGTGATATTTTTTACTTCCCAATCATAAACTTAGTGTATCTTTTCATTTATTCAGATTTTACTATATATCCCATAATATAATTTTAAAGTCCTATCAATGTCTCAAGCATGATTTGTTAACGTGATTCCTAGAGAATTTATAGTTTTCATTGCCATGTAAATGCTGCCTAATCTTTTATTATATTTTCTAGTTGGAATTGCAGGTACAGATGGAAGGAAAGCTGTTGACTTCTTCTGATATTCAAAAGCCTTGCTGACCTCTTATAGTTTTATTGTTTTATTTATTCTGTGAGTTTTTCTATCTAGAGTATTATATTGTCTGTAAGTAGTAATAGCTTTATCTTTCCTCTTCTAAGCCTTACACTCCCTGTGCCTTTTTCTTATCTTGCATTGAGGCCAGAGCCTTCTACAGAAATGGAAATGAATCCAGAATTCCCCTCCAAGCATATTTTCTGTAGGTTTTTGGAATATAGTGTTTATCACATTAAGCTTGTTCCTTATGCCCCTAGTTTTATGAATTTTTCTTAATCATAAGTCAGTATTGACCTTTAACAAAAGTTTCTCTGCATCTAAAAGTTAATCACTTTTTTCCTCCAACCTACTAAATGATAAATTGTATTAATAGATTTTTCTGCGGTTGAACCTTGCCAACATTTCTAAAATGAACGTTTTTATGATGTACTAGTAGTTTTTTTGTGTGTGTTTTTGTTGTTGTTGTTGTTTTGTTGTTGTTGTTGTTGTTGTTTTTGCAATGGAGTCTTGCTCTGTCACCCAGGCTGGAGTATGGTGGCGGGATCTCAGCTCACTGCAACCTCCACCTCCCAGCCCAGGTTCAAATGATTCTCCTGCCTCAGCCTCCCGAGTAGCTGGGATTGCAGGTGCCCCCACCACCACACCCTATGGATTTATTTATTTTTAGTAGAAACAGGGTTTCACCATGTTGGCCAGGCTGGTTTCAAACTCCAGACCTCAGGTGATCCGCCTGCCTCGGCCTCCCAAAACATTGGGATTACAGGCGTGAGCCACTGCGCCTGGCCAATATTTCATTAACTAATAATTTGTTTAGGATCTTAGCAAACTTTTCATACATAAAACTAATATGTAACTTTCTTTTCTTGGTATTGTCCTTGAGGCTAGGAAAGTTATACTAACCTCAGAGAATGAATTTAACATCTTTCTGTTTTTCCATTTTCTTTCACAGTTTTCTCTTTATAAAAGTTTGATAAAACTCTCTGCAAAATCTAGGTCAGAAGCTCTTGGAGAATGAGATCTTCAATCACTATTTTTATTTGTTAAGAAATTTCTTAATTTCTTTGGTTATGAATGTTTTCTATTTTTCCTCATCAGAACTTGGAATGTTGTGGTTTATCATAAATGTATCCTTTTCATTTAGGTTATTGAATATATTGGTGTATAATTCTGAACCCAGGTAACCTCATTTATACAATGAGTGTGGTTAGAATGTTAGTTCATGAAGCTGCTTTTCAAACTTAAATGATGAAAAGTATGTGAAAAGTGCTTTGACTGTGCATATGTTTATTGCTATGACCAGTAGCAGCTTCTCTGCAGTAACCCAGAGTTCTCGGCGAAGGGCCTGATCTCAGGTAGGGTCAAGAAGTGAAATTATATTATCAGTTAGAGTACTTAGCAGCAGGCAACAGAAAACCCAACTCAACCTGGCTTACACAATTTAAAAAGTTGTCATTTTACATAACTGAAAGTCAGAGGTAGGACAAGCTCCAGGTTTGGTTCAGTCATGAGTTCAAAGCTTACCTCCAGACTAGATTTTGTCTATTTTTCAGCTCTGCTATCATCATGGTTTTATCCTCATGCTGGTTCCCAGTGTGGTAAGAAAATGGCAACCCATGGCCATTGGCACTATAGGCTGTCTTGCTTCTTTCTGGTAGGAGAAAGAGAAAAGAATTTTCCCCTCAAACGTGAAACATGAGCTCTCCTGTTTGGTCTGATAGAGCCAACTGGGTCATGTGCCAACTTTGAACCCAAAACAGTCAGTGAGGGTGAGGCACACCTGATGGTTCAGATAATCAACAGCCTCATCTAGACTAGGAATTTAAAGGAGTACTTGAATCAAATCAGGGTTCAGATGAGGAAGATAGAATGAATAAATGGATAAGTGGATGGATGAATGGACAGATGGATGGATGGATGGATGGATGGATGAACATTAGACTGGCAACCACTGGTATCTGCTGCTCACAAATTCCTAAGCACCACTATAATCACGAACCAAGAACTACTAAGAGCTCTGGCCATACCTATAGGTTCACTCTATCCTTGAAACTATTTGTTTAATATTTATCTCCCCTAGTAGACACAAAACTGGTTTGAATCCTCAGTGCCCAGTTTGGGGCCTGACACCCAGTAGATGCTCAATAAATATTTGTTGGATGAATGAATGAATGGTCTTAATATTCCTCACAAGGACCCTGTGAGGTACTGCCCCTGTTATACAGATGAAGAAGCCAAGACCCAGGGAGATGATAGAGCCAGGATTTGAATCAAGATCTGCTACTCCAGACACATTCTTGTTTGTAAGCAACAGAAACAAACATTGCTGAAACAAACAGCTCCAAGATGCTGTCTTGGAGGAGGGGGATGGGGTGTGACAAAGGTTTCTGCTACTCTGCAGTAACCCAGAGTTCTCAGAGTGGGACCTGATCTCAGGGCAGGTAAAACTAGTGAAATAATGTGCCCTGTGGTACACTCTGATGTTCATCAGAGCTGGATCCTCATCCCAGGCAGGAGGGTCTAGAGACAAAATAGGCAGGACTTAAGCATCTCCAATAGCTTTAAAAATTCCTTCCTTTGGGAGATTTATTCTTTTCTGGTGGAAGCTTCACTGGGTCCTGCAATTTATTCTAGATATGGTGTGGAGCAATTTACATCTATTCTCTCCACACTTACCCATCTAAATTTTCTCTTCAACCAACGTTGACTCTGATCTACATCCTGTATGTTAGCTCCGTGCTCCAGACTGAAATACAGTGTTGGGTGAACTTTCAACCAGGATACCCCTCTTTGAGCAGCTGTTTCTGCCAGACCCTCTGCAGGTTTTTTTTCTTTATTTCTCACATCAGTCTTGCAAAGCATAATTTCATTTCATAGATGAAGAAGGTAGATCTCCATGGGGAGGCGGTGACATGCACCACTCACTAAGCAATCAGAGCTTGCACCAGCCTGCAACCCAGGTCTCTGAATCCCAAGCCCCCCACCTTTTCCATGACACTGTGCAAAGTCAGTGGTCCTTGTGCATTTCCAGTTATTGCTCAGGGCCTCATAAAGCACAACGCAGAAAGCCGAATCCAGAACATCCACTTTGGGGACAGACTGAATGCCTTGGCACAAGTGGCCCCAGGGATGGTGGGCTGGCTAATCAGCGGCAGGAAACACCAGCAGCAGCAAGAGAGCAGGTGAGACCCTGAGTTCCATCCCTGGCCCTGGAACTCTTTATAGAGCTCTAGATCGAAGGGTGGAGCTGATGGGGGGCTGGGGAGGTTCAAGGCCTGTAAAGAGGGAAGGTAGGAAGATTGAAAGAAGAGAAGGTGGAAGGCCCACACGAGGAAGAGTGGGGGCCCAGCTGCACAAATCAAAACTGTGTGGCACTGTTAGGGCCACTCTGGGGCAGCTTGCAGTCCAGGGCTCCCGCACCTGACTCTTGCCCTCAGAGCATCTGTAAAAGAATCACACTCCAAATCCCATTGCCAGGCCCTCTTTATAGACGGGACAGTCTTGTTTCTCAGCAGGAAGCCTTACCTGTTCTGAGGTCCCTCACCCTTGCGGGGCCTCTGCTCTTTCCTTGTGCAGCATCAACATCACCAACATGCAGCTGGACTATGGTGGGATCCAGATGTCATTCCATAAGGAGTGGTTCTCGGCAAACATCTCGCTTGAATTTGACCTTGAATTGAGACCGTGAGTCATACAGAAGCAGCATCTGAGAGGTGCTAGCCCTCCTTGCAGGGAACCTGGGAAATCCAGATCTTTCTGATCCCAACCTAAATTCAAATCCTGGCTTCCAAAGCCACTTGCTGTGTGACCTTGGGCAAGTCACTTCGCCTCTCTGAGCCTTGGTTTCTTCACCTGAAATGTGGATTACAATCATTAGTCAGTGGAAGGAAGTCATTTGCTCATTCAAACCTATGAGAGTTCACAACAACTGGGCTTGATAAAAAGAGAAAGGGAGAACTGCTGTAATCATCTCATCGCCCCTGCTCACCATCCTCCTGTTCAAACTATCCTTTGACATCCACTGCCCCCAAGAAAGGGAGGATGCAGCTAAATGGGAAAGATTTTTGAAACAGAGATTAGCTCTCAACGTTTGAATTTCCAAAGGCCTATTTAAGGGATTTTCAAAGTTACTCTGGCTACAGCTGTTTTCTCTTTAATCACTGACTTCGGGATTTAACTGGGCCTAGTTTGTTGAAAGGACTCAGAGTGCCAGGGGAAGCCCTGACAGTGGACAGTGCCCATCTTTGCCAACACGGAGATTTCTACTCTTTCTCTACCTCCTCCCCTTGCCCTTCCTCCTCCTCCTTTCTCATCTGCAGGCCCTTCGATAACAACATCATAAAGATGTGTGCACACATGAGCATCGTTGTGGAGTTCTGGCTGGAGAAAGACGAGTTTGGCCGGAGGGATCTGGTGATAGGCAAATGCGATGCAGAGCCCAGCAGTGTCCACGTGGCCGTCCTCACCGAGTAAGACCCCAGCTGCCCCTCCCCAGAGCTGGGCCTCCTTCCTGACAAGCCCCAGCTGCAGCGTCACTTCCTGACCATCTCCTAAATTAGTCCAAAGCAGATCTTATCCTTCCCCCAGGATCTGCTCTTCCTCCCGTGTTCCCAACCGTGATGACCCTACCACCCTCCCAGAAGCCAGATTCTTCTCCCTCCCTACTCCTCAGGCCCATCATCACCAGTTCCCATTAATGACTTCCTAGTAGCCCTCAGGTTCTCTCTTTCATCTCCATCTCCTACTCCACTACCCGGAGCACTACAAGAGCCTCCTCCTGGCTTTCCCGGATGTCCCCTCCTACTCTCCATTCCCCATCCTGCAGCAGAAATAACTTTCTAACACAGAAATTTGGCCATGCCCAAGCCCCTTCTCCAAAGCCTCCAGTGGTTCCCAGTGCCCTCTGGATAAAGAGCAACTCCCAAATTTCACTCAAGGCGCTGCTTGTCCTCTCCCCTGCCAACTTTTCAGCCCTTTGTCCTCCACCACACACCACGCATTTTTACACCACTGTGCCTTTGCACATGCTGATCCTGTTGCCTGGAATGCCCTTCCCATCTTCCCTGAAGCTCCTCCTTATCCCTCATTCATTCGTATGTTTCCCAAAAACCTACTGTATGCCAGCACCACACCTGATGCTAGGGATACAGTGGTGAACAAGACACAAAATACAGCTTTAATAAAGCTCCATAGATTGGCTGACCAAGTCTTTCAATTTCAACTGACTGTAAGTCCCTTGAAGGCAAGATTTGTGCCTGATTTATCTCTGTAATTCTGGAATGCTGAAAGCAATGAAGACCTCAGTGGATGTCTGATCATTTGTTCATCAGATATTCATTGAGTACCTAGATTGTACCAGACATTCATGGGAGGACAGTGTAAGGGAAAGACTCTGGAATCTGGTGCTCTATTGCCATGTTTCTTATATAACCAGCACTTATTAGCTGTGTGACCTTGGGCAAGGTCCAAGCTACCCCTTTGACGATCACTGACAATGATACTTCTGGCATGGGGCTGAGTGAGTATTAAAAGACTGTGGAAGGCGTACTCAACACATACCTCCTGGCTTTAATGTTGCCTAGATTGCTCTGTTCTGTTCTGTACCTCTACCTTTCTTTCTAGGGCTATCCCACCAAAGATGAAACAGTTCCTCCACAACCTCAAAGATAACCTGCAAGAAGTTCTCCCACAACTGGTAGAAAGTCAAGTAAGTTTAGAAAAAACTTTGCATCTTGAGCAATCTTGAGTCCCAGGGTCAAGGCATATCCACTGGCAATTTAGCAAAGGATTTCAAACATTGGGTTTTGGAGCTTGAAATATCTCAATTTGAAACTTCAGGTTGGCCTGAAGTTTGAGTTTTGTCAGGCTATCCTTGAGCAAGAGACTTTGCCTCCCTGAGCCTCAGTGTTCCCACCTGTAGTATGGGAACCACCACAGTCCCTGTCTTATATGATGAGGATTTGTGGAGACAAAGCGTGGAAGTGTTGTGCATGACACTGAGCAGGTAGTTGGCGCTCACTACCAGGGAGCCACTCTGGCCATGATTCCTACTAGAAAAATCCCATGGACTTAAAGTCTCCTGCCACAGGCACTTCAGTTTTCCTCTTCCAGCCCTGACCTGATCCTTCTCTCTGTGCTGATGGTCCAGGTATGTCCTCTGATCGGTGAAATCCTCGGGCAGCTGGATGTGAAACTGTTGAAAAGCCTCATAGGTGAGTGTCTGGTCCATCCAGTGAGGACTCCTTAGGACTGGCAAGGGGCTGAAAGAGGTACCCCTGTCCCTGGAGCCCCCAGGGAGGCCTGCTAAGGGGCATCTGCATGTGCTGTGAGAACACTTTAGAGGTGACCATATTATGATGACCACACTGTCCCCCAAGAGAGCTGGGACAGCAGAACGTACCCCTACCAAGCAGGCTGTGCCCTGCCAAGTCGCTGAAGTCATCAGGTTACCAGGGATTCTAGCTTCTCCCAAGATCTCCACCCAATCCAGTAGGGAGCACTGGTCCCACCCCAAACCTGAGACCATCTCTACTCCAGTTACAGATAAACAGTTACAGTCCCTGCTCATATAGAGCTCATAGACTAGTAAAGTGAAGACACCAAGAAGCAAATAATTCAGCATCATTTGGGGAGGGTTTTCATGTGAACACTCCCGACACCCGCCTTTGGTCACCATGGATAGATGATGGTTTCCCTTCAGTGTGGGAGTTGGGAGGTGGGCACGCTGGTGACAGATGCTACCTTTTCTCTTTACAGAACAGGAGGCTGCTTATGAACCAACCCACCATGAATCCAGCCAACCCTCTGCATGCCAGGCTGGGGCGCCCCCCAGCTGACTACTGCTGATCAGAAGGAAAGTCCACATCTTGGGACCTTAAGTCTCCCTTAGAGTGGGGCTTCTGCTACCCTAAAAACTTTGCCCCAGACCCTGTGGACATCCCATCCTCTCCCACAATAAACTCTAGCTCTGAAGGATGCACAGGTCCCTCCCACCTGGGCCCTGGGGTTTAGGTCTAGAAGTCAGACCTGATGAAGTATCCTCCTGAGAACAAATATCCCTACGGTTGCTCATCAGCCCAGAAATGCCGACAAAAAAAAAATGCAGGGAGGGGCTTGTTGAGAGTTCTCATTCTCTCATTCTTTCATTCCATATTTACTGGGCACCTAATATGTGTCAAGAATACTGCTGGGCTCCAAGGGGGTGTAGAGAAAGGGTGAGAGAGTGGAAAAGTGAAACCATGGGTGCCAAACACACCTGAGCTCACCTTCAATTCGGCCCAACTGGCAGTTCCATGAGGGTGTAGGTGCCATGCAGCATGGTGACCCATGCCCCAGCATACAGCTGGCACAGAGTGCGTGCTCAGTAAATATTTGTGGCTCAATGAGTGGTTGGATTCTAGTCTTAGGCTCCACTAGCTGCATTTGGGACAAAGCTTGTTACCTTTCTGTCTTCATCATTTGCAAAATGGGAATAGAAATCTTGCAAGATGTGGAACAACAGAAGCCATCCAACGCTGCTGGTGCGAGATCAGTTCTACCACCACTTTATAAGGCATCTCTTAAAGTTAAACATAGGCTTGCTTTACAACTCAGTAATTCCACTACTTAGTGTATTCTCAGCAAAAATACATGCACGTGTGGAGCAAAAGGCAAGGAAGCTGGTAGCAGCAACGTTCATCATAACCCCAAACTCAGCATCCCCCCATGCCCATCAAAAGAATGAATAAATAGAATGGGCAAATATCTTGTGGGATGGGCACCCACTGGAATCTCTATAGTGATGGAAATGACCAAAAATTGCCCACAGCCACATGGACGAATCTCATAAACAGAATGTTACATGAAAGAAGCCATAGGCAAAAGGGCACGTGTTGCATCTCCCATTTATGTGAGTCCCAAAACAGCAAAACTAATCCGTGCCACCAGAGATAAGATAGTGGTTACCTTGGGGCAAGGGTTAGATGCTAAGAGGGCATTGAAGGGGGCTTCAGGAGAGCTTATAACATTCTGTTTCCTGATCTAGGTGCTGGGTATGGGAAGGGATGTTTGGTTTCTGAAAACTCATTGAGCTATTTACATATATGCATTTTTCTTACGTGTAATGCACTTTAACAATTTTGCAATAAAAATATTGGCCGGTTGTGATGGCTCACACCTGTAATCCCAACACTTTGGGAGGCTGAGGCTGGAGGATTGCTTGAGGCCAGGAGTTCGAGATCAGCCTAGGCAATGCAGCAAGACCCTATGTCTACAAAAAGCTTGAAAACTTAGCTGGAGGTAGCAGCACGCATCTGTAGTCACCACTACTTGGGAGGCTGAGGCAGGGGGATTGCTTGAGCCTAGGAGTTCAAAGTTACAGTGAGCTATGATTGCAAAACTGCACTCCAGCCTGGTGATAGAGCAAGACTTTGTCACTCTAAAAAGTCCATATATGTATTTATAACGCAGGATGCTTGTAAGGAGTAAAGCCATGAAAAACCATTTGCAGTATATTTCATATGTGATGGGTTCATGGAAAATGCTTATTAAATGTCACTTAATCCAGCCAGGCACAGTGGCTCATACCTGTAATCCCAGCTCTTTGCGAGGCCAAGGTGGGTGGATCATTTGAGCTCAGGAGTTTGAGACCAGCCTGGCCAACATGGTGAAACTCCGTCTCTACTAAAAATACAAAAATTAGCCAGGCATGGCGATTTTGTTGCCTGTAATTCCAGTTACTCAGGAAGCTGAGGCAGGAGAATTGCTTGAACCCAGGAGGCAGAGGTTCAGTGAGCCAAGTTCATTCCACTGCACCCCAGTCTGGGCAACAGAGTGAGGCTCCATCTCACCAAAAAAAAAAAAAAAAAAAAGTCATTTAATCCATTGTTAATGATTTGACTGTTGATTATTCAATTATTAAATATGGATTCCCACTCTCCTCCAACCAAGAGTTGAAAAAGCAACCTGAGAAATCAAGGGAAAATAAAACACACATATTAATCACAGTAGCACACACATTAAGCACTTGTTATATCCAGAGCTTTTTGGTGCTCAGAGCTTACATCCAGCATCTTATCAATGCCTCCCAGCAACCCCACCAGATACAAAATTTCAGCTCACTTTATACATGAGAAGCCTGAGGCTTGGAGAATAAAGTCACTTGTCTAAGGTCACACTTAAGGAAATGGCCACATTGACTGCACTCAGGCAGCCAGCTCTAGAGCCCACGCTCTCAACCACCGTCAGTCCTCCCTCCCAGTCTTCCCTTCCTTCCAACACCCCCCACCCAACCACACACACACTCACGCACACACACACACGGTGGGGACTGATGAAATATGTGTTCAATGGGACTGACAAGCTCAAATAAGGAAATGTCAACAGCTCAGAGATGAGAATAGGGCAGGAGAATCTCACATCTCTGTCTTTGAATTCAAGCTCCCTAATCCGAAATGCTTCACCGGGGATTTGCAACCCTAA